GAATAAAGTCATACGAAAATAAAGTCGAAATATTATGAGAATAAAGTCATAAAAAAGTTGTAATATTACTTTGAAAAAAAAATCATGCCTGTTGTTTTTAACTAAATTCTGACTCAATACTAACATGAAGGAAGTGTTAAATTTAATGTTTGTTTTTATTTTTGACTGAAGCGGATGACTTTGAGTCCAAGTTCCAGTTCCACCCGGTGGAAGACCTCCCCCCGCCTGACGAGTTCAGGCCTTTCCCTCGGATCTACCCCAGCAAAGAAAACAAAGGTACACACACACACAACACCCATTATTTCACATCTGATCCCCAGACTTTAGTCTCATACGTCGGTTTTCAATGTTTTTACAGGGAATCCCAAACCGCCTGCGATCAGAACGCACCTCAGATGAGTCATGGACTCACCCTCTTCAGCACAAAACAACTTCCTGAAATGACGTGCGCTGTGTTGCGCCTCTGTCCCATGATGGCTCAAGAAAACAACAAAACAGCCACAGAAACGTTGTGTTGTTTAGTGTGTCTGTGCAGATGCAAGTGTCAAACAAGGTCCTGCCTTATTCTGACAGTGTGACCTTTGACCTTTTCCAGAGTGGAATGTTTTCAATGCCTGTGAAGAGGAGGAGAGCTCGCCGTTCTTGTCCTCGTAAACTACGTACAGTCCTTACATCAGTGCACGCACTCCAGTGTCTTTCATTATTGCTCTTTAACACACAAATGCGTTGTCTGTCTGTTAGCAAAATATCTCATGAACCACTCGACAGCCTTTAATGAAACTCTCAGAAACCAACCATTGGATGCACATCTACAACTGGTTCACTTTTGGAGTCAACCTGATTTAAGAATGGCTGTCACAGCTCATCAACATTAGCAAACACAAGAATAGGTACAACTCTGTCAAGTTTACAGACGCAAGCTTTAGTGTGGTAGTAGCTGAGAGTAATCCCGTTTATACTCCGAGTGTTAACGGATCACACAAGAAAATTTTTTAAGACTTTACTGTTCAAAACAGCAAACAAGGCATGCTATGTTCATTTTTTAAATTTTAACAATTTCACACAAGTTAGTTTTTCCATTACTTACAGATTTCTAAAAATTTAATGTAGGATTTTTGTCCCAACCTAGTAGGTTTCAGAAAAGTGTACTGCTTTAAATAAAAGACTGTATTTACCCTCATTTTAAACACAACCCATGAAGTTTGTTTTGGGAATATCTGACCCGTGCTGGAAAGAATGTGTCGAAATGAGCACAAGCTGAAGACAAAAAGAAACATGAAAATAATTGTATTTATCGTAATTAAGATTAGCATTAAAATAACTTTATATTGTCTGGCTGCTGTAGCTCCAGGAAATCCCTTCATATAAGGATTGGTGTCATGAAGCTCGGAGAGTCTCCTTTTTTTTTAAAATAAAAGTATAGAAGTCCTGATTACATCATTCCAGACCAATAAAAATAAAGTTTTCAAACTGGTTCTCTCCTAAACAAAACTAGCTGATAGAAAGCCAAATTTGAACAAACTGTGTATCTTTTAGAAGCTTCTGAGATGAATTAAAAAAGAAAGTTTTTATAAAGACATTTTCCAGCACAGGTCACAATTTCCTATGGGATCAATAAAGTTCTATCTTATCTTATATATAATCAAAGATTTGGTCAAAGAGAGATAAAACAGACAGATGTTAGGCAGAATATAATTATAAAGGTTTCAATAAACTTTAAAACAATAATAGTTGGACACTGACGCCGTAAAATTCAGTTTATTTATAAATCAGAAACAGAATATGGGAGTTTTTTGTCATTGTACCTATTCACATTATTTCCACTGGTGCTACTCTTTGTTAAAGTTTGTTTGCTTTTTAAGAAAATGTGATGGAACAGAAAGGTAGGAGATAACTGGACTGTATCAGCTTCAGTGTTGGGTTTTATTACCAAACAGTAAATTAAACATGCTGCTACCAGCCAGTTCTAACAGCTGAGCAAACAGCGCCATCTGCTGGTTCAGTGTAAAACTTATTCTAAAGCAGGGCTATTCAACTAAAACGCTCAGGGAGCTACAGTTACTGAAAGCCAAGAGCTCAGGGGCCGGACATCCAGCAATTATTCTCATTAAAGAAGTTTGTTTTATGGTTTAAAATATAGTTTTGTTTAAAAATGAAACTGCTGGTGGGCCGAACTGAGCTCACCCATGGGCCTGATTTGATCCCTGGCCCACCAGTTGAATGGTCCTGATCTAAGGTGTCGTCAAGTAAAAGTGAAGTACTTTACATATATGTACATGGTTGTTTTAGTATTTCTTTTCTCAGATTTTTGTGAGTCCTGTCATGTTTCTGGACATTAAAACAGATGTATTTTTAATCTCCAGCATCCCTCAGTGTTGGACTGACGGCTTGTTCAGGATTTCCACAGTTTCTCACCAAGTACAGACCAGAAAATAAGAGTAAATATTTCTGAAATGACAACACTTCTCTTTCATGTCAATTTGAAATAAAAGGGTTTGAGGTTGGGGAAGCCAGAGCTCCCAGTTTCACAGTCTCAGCATCACAGTTCATCATGTTTGTACGTGAACTCTCTCGAGGATATAAAGCCATCCTTGTTCTCGTCCTCCTTGGCAAAGATGTCCTCGGCCATGTTCTCGTGCAGCGTGTCGTTGGGAGGGTAGCCGTGACGCTCGAACTCTTTCCTCAGATATTCTTTCACCTAAAAGATGCAAAGAGAATGGGATATTTCAAAGTGAGACTCAGAGCAGAGCGACACCATATCTCATGTATTATCATTTCTACTTGTGCAATATTCATATTGTAATAAAATGCAGATATAAGTATGGAAAACTTGGGTATATTCTAATTCAGCAGTATTATTGCAGGTGCATAATATTCCTAATATTGTGCCGTTAACCATTTTACAGATATTTAGTGTACTGTACAATAATTAATATGCCCTCAAACATTTTTTAGTTCATTTTAAAAAGAAAGTTTAATAATTATAATGTGCTTTTGAATCAAAACTTGCCAAACAAAACAGAGAGGGCTGCAACCTACCAAAACTTAACCGATTAACTTGCTGTGTTATGACTGTGACTAAGAGTCAGACAATTGGAAGAAAATATGCAGATATTCATCTGGAATCATGCAAATATAGTAAATTGGGTCAACTGTGCAACAACTCTGCAAATGATAAAATGTTTTTGTTGCAGTTTAGTCACAAAGCGTCTTCATTATGTTCGTCGGATGCTAACTTGTCCTCATTTCATCCCTGGTTTTGTCACAGTTTCGTTCCATAGGTCGCCAAACCCGTCCTCAAAATTTCCCTCACGTTTCTTGCACTTTCTGACTCCCGGAAACTAAATTGAAATGGGTTTGAGACGAGTTTCTTTGCTGATGCTCGTCTTCACCTCATCTTTGGAGAGCCTCCAGTCATCGTTAAGGTCCATCTCCTGGAAGGACTCGTGTGACCTCGGACCATTTCTGATTTCCATAACCTCAACGATGAAGGTCAGCGTGCTCTCGGGTGGGATCTTACCTGACCACAGACAACAAAATGCAAGAAGTCAGCTAAAATAAAGACTATAAAGGGGTTTCTGGAAGGTATTATTAGTTCTATCAAGTGAGTTAGTGCTTGTGCTTACCAGAGCTAAAGCACAGTACTGTTAATGCTCCATGCTGACAGACAGTGGACTCATGTCACTGACTGAAGCCAGTATTCAGTGTGAAAGTCCTAAGACACCATTCAAAGCAAGACAGTCAAGTAAGATATGCAGCACATTTATAACATGCACAATACAAAACTGAAGTACCAGGAATTTCAAAAGTAATGCAAGAGACTAATTATTGCAGCAGCATGCAGAGGAGAAAAATACAGACGGCTCCACTACCTTTCCCTTCTTTTCCATAGGCCAGTGCTGGAGGTATCACCAGTTTCCTCTTCTCTCCAGAGCACATGTCCTGCAGGCCCAAGTCCCAGCCTTTGATGGTTTCTCTGATGCCCAGTGTGAACCACATCGGTTGCTTGTCACCGTGGTTTCGACTGTGGGTCAAACAGAGTAAAGAAACTTAATGAAGAACGGAATTTGAGGTTTTATTCTCTTCTTGTATCACACTGAATTCTACTGTATTACCTATTGTAGTATCCTGTGTAATCCTATTGTATAACCAGTACATAATATTATGTAAAACACAGGATACAAGACTATACAATGAACTTTAATGCCCCCCATAAAGAAACTGGTTTTGGGTGGCAAGAGTGAAGGCTACTGCTAACAACTCTTTGCTAATGCTCCAAACTTGACTGAAAGCATGATGTGTGACAGAGGTGGATGCTGGGACAGTGTGACATGGAGACAGATGATCCCCTGTACAGACTTCTACAAAGAGCAATCAGAAGAAGACGACATATCAAACATTATTATGAGCTGTAGTCTTTATTTGGCTACATACATTCTAACTGCACCAGACATTTAATTAGGAAAATCATAACAATTATAACACAAAATGTTACATTGTGGGGCAGCATGGTGGCGCAGTTAGAGCTGCTGCCTCTCAGTGAGCACGCTACAGGTTCAAATCTCAGTCCGGGGGCCATTCTGGGTGGAGTTTGCATGTTCTCTCATGCATGTTGGTGCAAGATTGGTAACTCTAAATTGTCCCTGTGAGTGAGAGAGTGAGTTGTTTGTCTCTATGTGTCCCTGTGATGGACTGGAGACCTGTCCAGGGTGTCCCCGCCTCTCACACAGTGATGGCTGGACATGGGCACAAGTGATCCCCGCGACCCGACAAGGAAGAAGCGGGTTAAAGATAATGTATGGATGTCACATTGTGGACTTTGCTGTAATACTATACTGCTAGTGCTTTCATTCCTCTTCTTTTCAGAGCACGCCCACCTCTCCAGACTCTCTTCCACCTGCTCATTACTCTCACTATAGATTATGTCAATAACAGTCCAAAGCGACTCCTGCCGGTCTATCACCATTTGAAAGCAAAAAGTCTCCAGTCACTCCTACCACACATTTCACCTCTGCCTCCATGTCCTGTACGACACTTATGAGAAAACCCTGGCTTGTGTCGCCTTCTTTCAACCGATCAACCTGATTGGGTCAGACACTGCACAAAAAGCCCCAAGCCATTTATAAACTAAACGAACTCACCCTTTCATTTGCACTGAGCATTACGTTTTGTTTTACAATCGGTCACTATTAACCAGTACCTGGAGTGAAACATGGTCCCGTTCTCAAAGAAGACGTCGTGATGCACCAGCAGCATGTCTCCGTACTTGGACTTCCTGCGGCAGATGAAAGGTCTGTGCAGGACTTCGGTCTTCAGCTCGGCCTCGGGCAGCTTCCCGCCGCTGACAGAGGCCAGAGCAGAGCAGCAGAGCCAGCTCAGCACGACCACCAACATGCCGACAACCTTCAGCTTCAGGGGGAAACAGAAAACAGGCAGCAGCTCCTCTCGACGTGGCAGAGACGCTTCATCACACAAGTGGCAGAAAGTCGCCTCTGATTGGTTGATTCCAACGTTAGCCCCACCCACAGCCACGCCCCTCCCTTTCATGACATGTTAAAGAAGAACTCCTCTTTGTTGTCATTCTGTACTTTATTACATTTACAATCATGCAGAAACTCACCAAGTCGTTCTCAAATCATTTAACTTTTCATGCTGCTCGAGGGATCACAGGTTGGTTGATTTTCTGTCACATTATTTGCACATTCTCTTCCACCGAGCCTCATTTGGACTTGTACTGTCAAAGTAAGCATGTTGTGCACAGATTTACATGCATGATCACAACTCATAAATATTTGCTCTGTAACACATTGCATGGGAACTAACATGTTCACACACCCCTGATCTGCATTCAGCTGTGTTGATGACTTTTATGGCACCTTTAAGTATTTTTTCACTCCTGTATTAAAGAGAACATAGCTTATTTCTGCATTAACAGTCCGCAAGTCATACGCGTTGTAAGGGTTTCTATAATGCAATCATTACATTCTTAAAATCAGTGTTTGTAACAGTGCAGCAGCCGATGGTGTGACGGTAATAAATAGCTCTTCTTGAAGGCTGGTTAAACCTCCAGCTGATTAAAAAAACTGACTTTTCATGACTTCGCTCAGATCAGGCACAATAGCATCCCTTTAGTATGCTCCGTCTCTTTTTCAGTTCATCACTTGTTTCAAAAGGAGTGAGACGTCAGTTGTAAATCTCAAGTACGAGCTCCTCAGTCACAAAAAAAGAGGAAAAATCCACCATGGTTGATTTCTTTCAGCGATGAACTCAGGTGAAGTACTTGCAGCCGGTAGAATCAATGAGGCAGGAGTCGGTGCACTGGAGCTGCCCAAAGGATCTGCAGAAGAGATGAAAAATGGTTTATAGCAAGTGCAAATACATTAATTTACACTTAGTTAATTCCCACAGTTTTTCTATAAAATTTAAAGCATTCACACTTAGATGGCCTTAGAGACATTATGACGAGAGTATGCTCTTTTTCTTTTTTGTCTTTCAGCTGCTGCCTTCAGAGGCATCACAGTGGATCATCTGCATCCATTTCATCCATAAACCTCCTTTAGTACACCACCCCTCTGCATAGCCTCCTTCACTACATCCATGAACCTTCTCTGTGGTTTTCCTTTTTTCCAACCTGCCTGGAAGCTCCATATTCAACATCCTTTGTCCAGTATGTCCACTGTCCCTCCTCAGCACATGCCCAAACCATCACCACTGACACTCGTCTCCATCCATTAAACTCTACCTACATATTCTTCTTCATCTCTCTTGTGCACAGTCTATTGCTTTGGATAGCTGACCCTATATTCATCCTCTACACCTTGCACATGTTTCCCTCTCATTCACACATGTATTCTGTCTTTTTCACTGACTTAATTCCTTTTTTCTCCAGAGCATACCCTCCACCTCCCCAGACTCGCTTCCACCTGCTTGCTACTATTACTACAGATCATTACAGATTCTTTATAAATAAAAATGTTTCAATTAGGGAAACATTTCAAACCAACATTCCTAGTGTCGCCTCTGGTTCTGTGTCAGATGAGACAACTTTAAAAATGTCACTAGAATTTGATTTATGTTTGGACTGTTTTTGTCCTGTTGAGCTCTCTGAATTCTCAAAAATAATAGCTTCATCCAAACCATCCACATGCCTGCTAGATCCCATCCCTACCAGGCTATTTAAAGATGTATTTCCCAAATTAATAACCATGTCTTGGATCTGCTTAATTTGTCTCTAATAAATGGTTACATATCACAGAGCAATTGAACCTTTAATTAAGAAACATAACCTTTACTCAGGAATCCTAGCCAATTGTAGACCTATATCTAATCTAACTTTCCTCCAAAAATTCTAGAGAAAATAGCTGCTGGTCAGTTACGTGATCATCTGCATAGAAATAATCAGTTTGAAGAGTTTCAGTCAGGTTTTAGAGCTCATCATAGCACCGAAAAATGCACTGGTGAAAGTTACCAATGATATTCTCATGGCCTCTGACAATGAACAGGTGTCTACACTGGTCCTGTTAGACTTTAGTGCTGCATTTGATACAATTGAGGATAATATTCTATTACAGAGACTTGAATATGATGCTGGAATTACAGGAACGGCTCTAAATTGGTTTAAATCATATCTATCTGATATATTCCAATTTGTAAATGTAAATAATGAATCTTCATCATACAGCAAAGTTAGTCATAGAGTTCCTCAAGGTTCAGTGCTTGGACCAGTACTCTTTACCTTGTATATATGCTTCCATTAGGTAATGTTATTAAACAGCATGGGATACATTTTCATTATTATGCTGATGAGACACAGTTATATTTGTCCATGAAACCCACTGAATCCATTCAGCTACTTAGACTACAAGCATGTCTTAAAGACATAAAAATATGGATGACCCTAAATTTTCTGCTTTTGAAGACAAAACTGAGGTTAGGAATAAATTTTTCAGTCTCTAATGTTGGAAATTTTTGGTGTTATTTTTGATCAGGACATGTCTTTTATCCCCAACATTAAAAACTTTACTAGAACTGCCTTCTTCTACCTGCGTAATATCGTTAAAATGAGAAACATCTGATCTAAAAATGATGCAGAAAACTGGTTCATGCATTTGTCACATCTAGACTGGACTATTGCAATGGTTTATTATCCGGATGTCCAAATACTCTTTAAAACGTCTTCAGTTGATCCAAAATGCTGCTGCCAGAGTCTTAACTGGAGTTAGTGGGAGAGATCATATTTCTCCAGTTTTAGTTTCTCTCCATTGGCTCCCTGTCAAATCCAGAAATGAATTCAAAATCTTACTTCTAACATACAAAGCCCTCAACAACCTAGCTCCATCTTATATTCGAGATCTCATTGTTCCATATTTCCCTAACAGAGCACTTCACTCTCAGACTACAAACTTACTCGTGGTTCCTAGAGTTTCCAAAAGCAGAATGGGAGGAAGATCTTTCAGTTATCAGGCTCCTCTCTTGTGGAACCAACTTTCAGTTTCTGTCCGTGAGGCTGACACATTGTCCAGTTTTAAGACTGGGATTAAAACTTTCCTTTTTGATAAATCCTATAATTAGGGTTGGCTTGTTACGCTGCCTTAAGCTTAGACTACTGGAGGACAAATTGACCTCATTTCCTTAAATGAATTGTTAAAATTGAATAGTTTTCATTTGATACTATTTCTATCTTAACATGTGATTCTTGACCTGCCATTGTGTATCTGTTCTTCTCTAACCCAGCCGGTTGAAGCAGATGACCGCTTGTCCTGAGTCTGGTTCTGCAAAAAGGTTTCTTCCTCATGAGGGAGTTTTTCCTTTCCACTGTCGCCTTCATGTTCGCTCAAGATGAGAGTTTTGCGATGGAGTTAAACTCGAAGCAGTCTGCTCCTCAGATAAATAATGTTAAATTAATATTTTTACATATGAATGTTTCTGTTCAGTGTCCTGAGATGACTTCTGTTGTGACTTGGCGCTATAGAAATAAACTGAATTTAATTGAATCACAGTGTCGTCTCCAGTGCCATAGCCATGTGGACTTCTGCCTGACCTCATCTCCTGTGTATCACCACTTCAAACCAGAGAGGGCTCACAGCTGATGTAATCCCATGCCCATCCTGAACCCCTCTGCCACTCGTACTGCACATCTCACCACTGCCTCCCTGTCCTTGTACCCTTAGATGCTTCGATCCTCATACAGTACCGCAGTACTTCTCTTGGCCCTTTCCCTACGCCCATAGTGCAAGTCCTTCTGAAGCACAAGTTTTTTTCTATGAAGTTTAAAAATCCCAGATGAACACCGCTAATAAAAAGAATTACAGAGTTAATTTGACATCTTAAAAACATTTGATTATTGTGTACCAAGCAGCACCCAGATGAATGCGTTTGTGGTTTTAAAATCAGTAAACATACCCAGGAAGGTAGGATTTACAGGTCTGATAGCCAAAGTCTTTCCCATCGCACTCCTCCATCCCTTCATGTCGGTAACCATCTCCACAGTACGCCCATTTACAGTCTGCAGTGACAAAGCGAAAAGGATGAAAAGAGTGCACGGGCACAGGCGGGAGAAATCAGGGGGAGAAAGACGTTACAAATTTCTTTCGGCACTGCAGTCGGTTGTGATGCCAGTGCAGCATTTTCTCGCTAATTGAATTGAAAAGAAGCAGAGAGTAGTGAGAGGTTGGCTGGAAAAGAGAAGGCAGGGGAGATGAATAAAAGATCAAGGGAAGGTTTCATGGTGCGGGCTGCTTTTATCCTGCGCCACACGGGAACTGAACCTGTGGTGTGTTGTGGTTATGCTCTGCAGGAGATCTTATGACGGTGTCCAACAATAAAAAATGTAAAACTTTGTAAACAAAGGCTGGTTCCGTGTATTTAAACTAACATAACAGAAAGCTTTTTTGTAGCGCTAAATGAGCAAACCCTTCTGCATGTGTGCTAGTGAGAATGATATAACTCACTAAGACAGGCATCGGTGACGATCTGGTTTCCATCGTCACACTCCTCCCCGTGCTGGGCCTGCACCTTCCCGTCCCCACAAACGGCGACTGGGTCTGGGACTTTCTCCGTGGACTGAAATGGCTGAAAGGGCTGGAAGAAATGTGAGGCTGAATCACTTTGAGAGGATTTGTCAAGATGTTTAGATGCAACTCAGACTGATTAAAAGGCGCATACCGTATTTTTCGGACTATAAGGCGCACTTAAAACCCTTTAATTTTCTGAAAAATCAACAGTGAGCCTTATAATCCGGTGCATCTTATGTATTAATTCTGGCTGCGCTTACTGACCTCGAACTGATTTTATGTGGTACACGGCGCTCAAAAATCAGTCAAAATGTTTTATATGTTACACGTTTCGTATGAGAACAAACCCGTCCATTGATATTGCACCTTATAGTCCAAAACATACGTCAACTTCAGCTCAAGTGTGTCTTTAATATGCAGAATAAAATGTTTTCTTATTGTACCTGTAAGGGGCTCCAGCCATCTTTATCTTTAAAGTAAAGCATCCTCTCGTCCCTTCTGAGCGCTATCGCAGTGTCTAGATGTATGCGGCCCATCTCCTCCTCACTGTTCACCACAAATATCTAAAGAGAGCAAACATATGATAAATAGCTGCTTAATGATGTAAAATCAGTTTTCTGTGGGAATATCTTGGGTCTTACTGCAGTGAGTTTATTGCTGCCGCGTCGTTGGGTGTAATAATGTCCAAAAGGAGCATTATTTCCTCCAGGGTTACAGTCACAGTGACCCGGTAGACCTGGTGGACCCTGCTCTCCCTTCTCCCCCACTAAAAAGAGACCTGCAGGAAAGCACCTGTATGTTACAACTTAAGATGTTCAATATGATTTTTCTATATCTGTGTATGTGTTACCGCACCTGAGGCGGGAGGTCCAGGCGGGCCAGGAAGACCGTGGGGACCAGGTGGTCCTGGTGGGCCCATGAGTCCTGGGGCTCCTGTGTGGCCCATTGTACCCTATACAAACATAAAACTGTATGTTAGAACAGGGGTTCCCAAACTTTTCCATGCCATGGCCCCCCAAACAACATTAGCTTCTGGCCGTGCCCCCCCCCCCCCCCCCTCGCAAACCCACAAACAATGCTACAAACTATGTAAAGAAACATCAACTTTTTGAATGTTTTAACTTTTATTCACTATATTCAATTAATTAGTACAGCTGCTGAGCATAAAAATGTTATTAACTAACATGTTTTAAACACTGTATTATAGTCCCACAAAAAAACAACAAAAAACAACAACTTTTCAACAAACTGTTGACCAGAAGAACAAAACAAAAGAAATCTAACCTCTCTCAAGCGTGTTTATCTGGAAATGACAAATACAAACTGCCCTAGTGTCCAATTATTATTATTATTATTATTATTATTATTATTATTATTATTATTATTATTATTATTATTATTATTATTATTATTATT